TGTGAGTCTGATGAAGTCCTTCACATTATTTATTTTTCTTTTCTTTTTTTCAGCTATCACAGGTGAGCCAAAGTCATTCCAAAATGTTTTTGGAGACTTTTAGAGCTAGCTCTTCTGTAAATTTCTAAATTTAGAAAATGCACCGGACAAAGGATTTAATTATCTGTGTATTGCTTGGATATTGTAAATATGTCCAGAAATATAAAATAATAGATATATGCAATGTATCCATTTAACAGTGAGTGCTGCTATTTTAGGTCCAAGGATGTTGATAAATTGATGTAACTTAGAAATGTGGGCACTAAAAACATAGTATTATAAAAAATATTTCAATGTGTCATCCTGAAAAAATATTAGAAGACTTTGGAAGATATTTCCTTTTAAATTGTATCAAATTGCAAGACTAAAGCAGTTTAGAATATTGGTAGCGCAACTTTAAAAAAATGTTTATTGCAAAACTTTTCCCTAATTAGATGCTCTAAACTTTTGACAGAAGTTGATAGAAGGAAAAGTATTTCCTCGTGTGTTTAAAAAGGATATAATTTTTTGTATTTCTAATTTACTGGATTCTCCGAAATCAGATATGCTTGTCAGAAATCAGTCTTCTCATAATAAATTATATTCAGTATAAAGGATCATTGTTATTCTGCATTTTCAGGTTCAGTATATGTTTTATTTCAGAACCCGATTTTTTCACCGTCTGGTTTTAGTCAGCCTAATGTTCCTTTTACTGAGAATGAATTCCAAAGAAGAATAATTTGGGGTGAAAGGAACCTCATGGTCTGGTCTTATGTTTCCCTCTATCACTAATTACTTAAACTATATATTTTTAATGAAACAATTTATTTAAAAAAAAGCCTTTACTCACCCTCCAACTTCACTTCTTTCCAATTACATTCATTCTAGAATTGGTTTGTTAAAATATACAGAGTTTAGATTTTTAATAATGTAGAAAAAATATTTCACACATCCATTACATACGTAATATACACTGAGTGGCCAGATTATTATGATCACCTGACGTTTGTAGGCAAATTAGCTATGATTTCGCGCTGAAGCTGCTAGAGGGCCAGACCATTTTGAATAGGGAAGCAGGTTGTTTTCCATGACAGTAGAAGTGATTTTTTTCTGAAGATATGGTTAAACAACGCGATTTAACAGCCTTTGAACGTGGGATATATATGTACACTGAGTGGCCAGATTATTATGACCACCTGACATTTGTAGGCAAATTAGCCATTCACTGCATCGTATGGGATATGGAAGCCAAAGGCCTGTTCAAACACCTTTGCTGTCTGCAGTTATCAAGATAAAACGTCTCCAATTCGCACAGGAACACAAGGATTGGACAGTCGAGCATTGGAAAAAAGTCATGTGGTCAATGAATCACGTTTCCAGTTGCATCACGCAGATGGCAGAGTGAGAATTTGGCAGAAACAGCATGAAAGCATGCACCCCACATGCATGAGTACAACCCTTCAAGCTGGTGGGGGCAGTGTTATGGTTTGGGGCATGTTTTCCTGGCATGATTTGGGCCCTTTAATTCGTGTGCAACAATGTCTGAATAGCACCACATACCTAAGTATCGTTGCTGATCAAGTTCATCCTATCATGTTGATGGTGTATCCCAATGGAGATGGCTTCTTCCAACAAGACAATGCGCCATGCCACGGTGCTTGTATTGTGCAGGAGTGGTTTCAAGAACATGAGGGAGACTTTACCTTGCTTAGGTGGCCCCACAATCACCAGATCTCAATCCAATTGAGCATTTGTGGGATGAAGTTAAAAGAGCCATCAGGCAGCTGGTTCCACAACCATCAAATCTCACAGAACTGGACAGTGCTATTCATCAGGCATGGTGTCAGATTCCTCGCATCACCTTTCAACATCTCGTGGAGTCAATGCCAAGAAGAATCACCGCAGTATTGAAGGCAAAATGTGGCCCAACGAAGTACTGATGAGGTGGTCATAATAATCTGGCCACTCAGTGTATATCTATAATAATAAAAATGTAATATGATAATTACATCAGACAGCCAAACAACCATCTGGACATCATTCTGGTCATCCTGGATGAAGCTGCCGTGGCGGGGGCCAAGGGAGAAGTGGTTAGGGGCAATCAGGCAGGCAGGCAGAATGGTTAGGGGCAATCAGCCAGGCAGGCAAGTGGTTTAGGGGCAATCAGGCAGGTAGGCAAGCAGTTAGGGGCGATCAGGCAGACAGGCAGAGTGGTTAGGGGCAATCAGCCAGGCAGGCAAGTGGTTTAGGGGCAATCAGGCAGGTGAGTGGTTAGGAGCCAGCAGTCCTGGATTGCAAGAGGGATGTCCGACTGCCGGTTTAGGCCCAATCCCACAAGGATTCCTGCAGGATTGGGCCTAAACCAGCAGTCAGACATCCCCGAGGGGTCCCGAATTGCGAGAGGGTGCAGGCCTGGCTGAGGGACCCCCCGTGTGCACAAATTTTGTGCACTAGGCCTCTAGTATTTATATAAAATAGATGCTATCTACTGGTCAGTAGCTGCTATCTATCTCACAAGAATTTCTCTCTTTCTAGATGAATCCATAATAAGCATATAAGCATTACTGAAGAACTGTGAAGGAGGCAAGTTTCTGTAATACTCAAGCAACCATTTAAAAAGCAGAAGGTCCTATGTCCTTTTAGCAGGTTTTTACTAGTACATGTAATAATAATAATGATAAATGAGTCTCTAAAATATGCAAAGCACATTAACGTGCAAAGTACATTTTATTTATTTTTTAATCTTCCCAACAACCTTTGGAAGTAAGAATTATTATTTCTATTTCCAAGACTTTACATCATTCACGTTCAGGGTCAATGTTAAGACTCTCCTGCATTCAACCCTGGATGGGTAGTTCAGTTGTTTAGAGTGTCATCCTGACAGGCCAAGGTAGTGGATTCTATCACCACTCAGGACATACATAAGAATCAACCAATGAATGCATAAACAAGTGGAACAACATCAATGGTCCTTTCTCTCTCACTCTCTCTCCTTTTATCTCTCTCAAATCATTAAAAAAAGTTTAAAAAGAGTATCCTGCATATTTAAATGACTTGATTAGCTATAAAAATATCTTAAATATATATATATATATGCGCCTAATATGCAAATTGTCCCTGTGGGAGTTCAACAGGGAGACCAGGAGTTTGATCACTTGATATGTAGTGTGCTGACCAACGGGGAACAGTGTGGAACAAAGGAAGGCCCTGGCTGGCAGCTGGAAGGAAGGCCCTGATCGGCCCTGATCGCCAGCCAGGCCTAGGGATCCTACCTGTGCAAAAATTTTGTGCACCAGGCCTCTAGTAGTAAATAAAAAACCTATTGGTGCTTTCTACCAAGTAAAACTCTAAGAATATCTAAGTGGAATTCAAATATTTTATAATTAAAATTATATATAATTTTTCTTATTTTACTTCAATAATGACCCAAGATCATAATTTTGTAATCATGATTCTGAATATAGTAAATATAGTAACCTTATGGGTTAACATAGATCTTTAAAAGAAACATTTATGTAATTAAAAATGATAATCACAGTTAATATTCCTGACATTATTTTATTTTTTAAATATTTTCATTGGTTTCCAGAGAGAGGAAGGAAGAGAAACATCAAATGCTAGAGAAATTGCATACCCCTTAATTGGGGATTGAGCCCACAAGTCTGACATGTGCCCTAATAGGGAATTGAACCAGCAACTCCTCAGTACACGGGACTATGCCCAACCAATTGAGCCACACTGGCCCTGACCTTATTTTTGGCCAACACTAATCTTAACATTAAAGTATTTAAGTCTAATATTGTCAATATTGGATTATTGATTTTAGTCCAAAAATTTCTTAAAAGCAAATGCTGGTGATTAGAAATTAACACAATTGTGAAGATTTTATCTTCCGAATTATTTTTTATTCAACTATAATATGCATAAAAATAAATAATAATTTTTTCTCTCCAAATACTTAAATTTATTTTCTAAACTTATATTTCCTATGAGTTAAAAATATCATAGTACCTTCTGAATAAGCAAATAATAGTATCTGAAGTTAGAAGTTAAAAATGTATTTGTAATCAATTTGAAATTAGCTATATTTAATAAGAAAAGCATATTCATGACTCTGAAACTATTAAAATATCTTTTCATACATCACTTTCATCATGAACATAGTAATTATTATGCTATAATTGCTAGTTAACTAAACATTTATTTATATGTGATTACGTTGCAACTTTAACTAAAGATATTTACACTAAATATGAAAGGATATTTCTGTGCAATTAGATATTTTTTCTACCTCTATATTACATATTTGCATAGTTAGTAAATTTCTCATGAAAAGTAGTACATAAATATATATACTTCAAGATTATTTTAGAGTAAACTATCTAGTTGATACAAAGAATGTTATTATTATAACAAAGTTACTTAGGAAAGTTTTGCTTGTTGATAGTATTACAGATATCTCCCATCCGACCCCTTACCCCCTCTCCTCCCAGCCCCTACCTACTATTATCAACAATAAAAAATATATTACAAAAATAAAATTTAAAAAGGGTTTTACTTAAAATAAAAAATTCTGTTTTAGGAACAATTTATGTTCTTGAGAATCTCGCTTACTGATTTGCAAATTGTCAACTGTAAGGTACGTATATTCTAAGCATTTTGAGAATCTCCAAATTTGTAAAAGTACACCAAAACTTTTACTTCACCAATAAAATGCAGTGAAATAAATCTGAAAAATAAAGCAACTTTTGTAGAGCATTAGTAATTTTACCAGTACAGGACTAAAGTCATTTCTAAACTCTATAAATATATTCAGAATGAGTTTTCAGTGCAACCATTTCATCTCTTTTTAAAATTTTAGGTGTTCATATGAATTATTCATATCTAGATGAACCATTGCCAAATTTGATATTCCTTTTTAGTTTTATATTAAATAAATACTTTCTAGCTAAGAATCTTAACAAAAATTATAGGGTGCTTACTATGGGCCAGGCACTGTTCTAGTCTCTGTAGCTAGTTGTACTAATCTTCCCTCTTCAAGTTTACATCCATTTGTTCTTCCCTTGCATTACTCCTATTAGTAGCTGGCTTTGTGTTTTGTTTATAATAAAATTCAAACACCTTACCATGACCTACAATGACTTAAGTGACCTATTTGCCTCCTTCTCCCATCTCTTATCTTATTACTCCCTCTGTGCTTTCTGCTCAAGTCATAGGAGCTTCCATTCTTTATCTGCAAAACAAAAGACACAACACTTCCTTGCTTCTGCTTCCTTTGGCTACACTTTTCCTTTTCAACTTTTTTTCATGGCTGGGTTAATAATATCATTCAAGTCTCAATTCAAATGTTACATCCCCATAGAGATCCGATGTGACTGTAAAGTTCCCTTTCTCATTATATCATCTGCCCTTTACTCTACATTTAACTCAACTTATGTAGCAGTTCCTGTCTCTCTGCCATAAAGGAATGTAAGATGCAGAAAAGAAAAAGTATAGTAAACACTTAGAAAATAATAGATTCATAAACAAATAAATGAAAGCAGTTAGAAAGTAAAAGGTTCCCATAATTTTTTTTTTTTGAGAAATGCTGCTTTTTATACCTTGGAGATTCACAGAGCAAATTAGCATATTAAAGCTCTGCATATTTATGTTTTGTTTGACTCAGAGGTTCCAAGGCTTTTTTGAACATGAAACCTTTATTTTTTTTTTTGAAATAGCACTTATTATGTCTTTGAAACACTTGATGGCAAACATTAGCCTTTTTTTATCCTTTTGAGATTTTCATAACTCGTAATATAATTTAAATAAGCATTTTAATAAATATATGAAAATAAAAGTTTAAAGTAGTGAGAGGATCAGAATGTGTTTTCTGAGTGAACCAAGTTTAGTTCGAAAAGAAAAAGGCATTTTGCTATTAGCTTTCTTGCCTATGGTTGACAGCTGATGGAACAGTGCATGGAGTAATATGTTTTCCTTTTGCTTTCTAAATTTGTATTAAGCCCATAGCAATTCTGCAGCAAATTTAATGATGTTGTGGAAAAATGTCTAATATAAAATATTTTATTATAAAAGCGCCGAAACATTAAGGCTATACTATATCTGCCTCTATGTTTGACAGCATGGAAAAAAGTACTATAGTTGTAGGGAGGAATGTAGAATGTTTTTAGAAATGAAAGTGAAAACCTGAACTGAATAGACATTATTCCCTTGTGCTTAACTCTGTGGGATGTTTTTATTGTGCTTTGTTTTTGACAAAACATAGTTTTTCATGTTCAAATTTTGGGGAAGCTTAGCCTATTCTGTGATAATGGATTAAGTTATAAGTTCTCTTGCCATTTCTGAAATGATACATTGAAATATATTTACGAAATGATATGTTGTGATATATTTACTATAATCTCTTAATGAGAGTTTTGAGTTTTTAATAAAAAGAAGAAATGTTGCCTGGCTGGCATGTCTCAGTGGTTGTGTTGACCTATGAACCATGAGGTCATGATTCGATTCTACTCCAGGGCACATGCCTGGGTTACAGGCTCTATTCCCGGTGGGGGGTGTGATCAATGAGTCTCTCTTATTATTGATGTTTCTATCTCTCTCTCCCTCTCCCTTCCTCTCTGAAATCAATAAAAATATATTTTAAAAAAGGGAAAATGTAGCTTTAAAGGATTTAGAAGTCTTTTTCAGGGTGGTATTTTTATCTACTTTTCTTACTTGCAAGAATAATGGGCTAATAAACTTCCATTTAAAAATATTGATTATTCCAAGTGAATCTTAAGTGAAATGAAGAAAGTCTGCTTTAGGTTTTGAATATTGCAGCATTTTCTATCAACTATTAATCTTCAAGACTTTAAAAGATAAATAATGTCTATCCCCATTGAATCTATGTTAGGTATAAAATAACTCAGTGTCTATAATATTGGGATAGACTGATTTCATAAAAATCTCTTATTTGCCATGATTCCCTGGTTGTCTTTTCATGTTTCAACTCCATTAACGTCCCATAGGCATATACTAAAAAGGAAAATCAGCCCCTGTCCATTGTTGCCCAGTGGTTAGAGTGGTCCCCACACAGAAGGGTTGTGGGTTTGATTCCTGGTCAGGAGCACATATAGGAGGCAAGGGATTGGTGTTTCTCTCTCTCTCTCTCTTCCCCTCTCTCCCACTCTCCCTCCCTTCTACTCTCTCTAAAAATCAATAGAGAAAATATCCTTGGGTGAGGATTAACAACAACAAGATAGGAAAAGGTATAATTTTAATGTAATACAATCTCTGCCATCTTTAATTTTCTAGCCTATAATTGAAGGACTTTAGTAGTACAAAATACATTTTTCTTTTTAATGTACATGTCTCTACTTGCTGGTATAGCTGCTGCATTTTTTTCATGTAGTATATACTAAGTCATATTTATTCTTCCTTTATATTTGCTTGCATTTTGACAATTAACTACAACTCCAAAATGGGTTCTCAATCTCTTAAGTTCAAGATCACAAATGCAGCCACCTATTATAGTAGCCAAGCAAGTAAAAGCCCTGAGCAGTAAAACTTAGAACTAATTTAACATTAAGCTGCCTTTTATTCTTATATTTTTATATTGAGGTAAGTTATTTACAGAACTTTTATATGACTATTTATCACTGTTTTCTACATAATTATTTTAATACTCTATTTTTTGACAATTTTAGTCTTTTTTCTAAAGTCACTCTATCCTTCCTTCTATGTATTAATTTATTTTGTAAAAAGAATTAAATGCAAAATATAGTTCTAATAGTTTTAATATGAGTAGATTGTGGTGATAAAAAACAATTTAAGTGTTCACTGAGGATAGCATGAAATAACAGAACAATAAGACTTACTCCATAAACACAACATCTATTAGGAGAGGCACAAAAACTACATTCTGGAAAAAATCATATGGCATGATTTCCAACTGTGGGAGAAAAGATCTAACGGAGAACCAATGTGCAATGAAACATTTCCACTTTTGACATCAGGAATATTTAAGTTCATTTCCAAACTAAGCAACTTAAAGTTAAGCAATGCCATATGACACATACATCACAGCTCCACCCCAATAAATCTGAAGACACGTATTTTATTATCAAGTATACAAAGAGTTAATAGCACAGTTTTAAAATTGTTAGCTAATGCATAAAATTACCTCACAATCTTCAGTGCTGCTGCTACTGTAGCTCAGTGTATCATCATAAAATGCACTTAAAATTTATAAAACATTATCATAAAATATATAATGCAATGATGATCAATGTACATGCCATTTAAAATAGAGTATTAAGTACTTGTATATGTGTGTGTAGAGACAGATGCACATAGAAAATATTCACATTGCCAATATATAAATATATATTCCGAAATAATCTGAGTCATCCAGTCTTATAACTATCAGAGACTTTTAGGGATCAATCAGTCCCAATGGTCAGCATTGATCTAATCTTCCTAACTAGTATCATTTCTCAGTCTTCAACCTTTTGCATCGTTACTGTTATTAGTTATGACCTCTGTTGGAAATAACTTTAAATATATTTTGTTATATATTCCTATGATTTTTCCAGGTATAATGCCATTAAGAAATTTATGTTATTCACTTTAATATATCATATAACACTTCTTACTCAAATAAACGCATTACAAACCAAGATGGTAATGGCCTTTTTTTTTGTTTTTCTTTCAAGTTCTTTTCTATGTGCTTTCATTGGTATAGAGTATGGCTCTATTGAGTCAAATTCAAACAAGAAAAAATATTTCTATATATTCATGAAGTAATCTAGTAGATAGACTGTGTTTCTAAAGAAACACATGTATTTCTTTTTTTATAAACAGGGCATTTTGTGTCTGTATTATATTTTAAAGAATATTATAAATTTTAAAAGTATATAATCAAAATATTACAAAAAAATACACACAATCAATAAGAAACAATGTTATTCCTTATTCTCTATAATCAGCATCATTTTGTTTGTGGCAAATTTAGTGTGAACTGGCTCAGGGGAGACTCCAAAAGAGAAGTTCTAGACAACCAATGAAGTTTTCAATAGAACTGCATAATGGTTTATTTATTGAATACATTTTCATCAGAAACCAGCTATAGACTTAGTCACCAAAAGGTGTTTCCCGCAGAGTTTCTAATAAGCTCATCCAAATCCATCTGTTGAAGAAGACTGTTTTATCTCAACAATATGTGCTGAGTTGAGTCTGCTTTATTAAAAAGTACACTTCAGTCTCTTCTTCACAAAGCACAATTTCATAACCAGGCTAATCTCAGAGAAGAACTATATTCCATAGAGAATTCCCACAATTGAAGTCTCCACCTAAGCTACTTTTTTCAAAATGGTCTATATATATTAGGGCTTAGGATGAAAACAGGTTTTTGTTCTGTTTTGTTTTCTCATTTCAACACCAAATGCTCATCTCGAGTGATGTATTGCTCTCATAATTAAGATATGAAGTTGATAGCATGGGCCAGTGATTGCCAATGCCAGTTGATGAACAGTATAACCAAAACGACTATAAGTACACATTCCAGAGATATAAAGCCAGGTCTATTTATCAGCATTCCCAAGGAATGTGATACACACACACACACACACACACACACACACACACACACACACACACTAGAGGCCTGGTGCACGACATTCGTGTACTTGGGGGAAGGAGGGGTCCCTCAGCCCGGCCTGCACGCTTTAGCAGTCCGGGAGCCCCTGGGGGATGTCTGACTGCTATAGAGGTGGGAGAGGCTCCATTGGTGTACTTGGGGGAGGAGGGGTCCCTCAGCCCAGCCTGCATGCTTTAGCAGTCCGGGAGCCCTTGGGGGATGTCTGACTGCTATAGAGGTGGGAGAGGCTCCCTACATTGCTGCTGCACTTGCCAGCCAGCCATCAGCCCGGCTTGTGGCTGAGTGGCACTCCCGCTGCTGCACTCGCCAGCCAGCCCTCAGCCCGGCTTGTGGCTGAGCGGCACTCCCCCTGTAGGAGAACACTGACCACCAGGGGGCAGCTCCTGCGTTGAGCATCTGCCCCCTGGTTGTCAGTAGGCGTCATAGTGACTAGTCAT